TTTTCACCATGAAGACAAGTCCAGAGGTCAAATTTTTTTTTTTTAAATTAAAGTATATTACATTAGCTTTAATTTAAGATATATATAAAAGTATCAGACCTTCCGGAACATTTTCAAAAGTTAAGTTGAAAAAGTTCTACTTTCTATATGCATTTTTTATATTTGAAGCCCCCCCATATATAGGGAAATAGTCTGATTTAAAAAAAAAGTATATCCAATGAAAGATGTATATAAATACTACTTCTCATGAAAAAATTGTATTGATCCATACATTTTTTAAAAAGTTATAGCACTTTAAAGTAAAAAATGTAAATTATAAAATCGAAAATTTTCACACAAAAATAGCATTCGGTAGCCGTTTTCACCATGAAGACAAGTCCAGAGGTCAAATTTTTTTTTTTCAAATTAAAGTACATTACATTAGCTTTAATTTAAGATATATATAAAAGTGTCAGACCTTCCGGAACATTTTCAAAAGTTAAGTTGAAAAAGTTAATTTTTTGTGAAAAAGTTGTCATTTTAAATCCCCCCCTGTGGGCAGATAAAGGGTCAAATTTACAAAAAAAAAAAATCATATGATAGGTAAAGACATCAAGCATCTATAAAAAAAAAATTATAGTGATATGTTCATTTTTGAAAAAGTTACGGCATATTTTAGTAAAAAAAATTGAAAAACTTTCGAAAATTAGCGATTTTTAAATTTGTAATTTTTTTGGAGGTTTCCCCCATTTACGGGGAACGAGGGAAATTTTTTCAATTTTGAAGGGTAATGTCTTCGACTAGNCGAACGGGGGAATTTTTTTCAATTTTTAAGGGTAATGTCTTCGACTAGATACGATTTGTGATCTTTTGACGTATCGTTGAAAGAAATCCGTTCGGTGAGAGCTGAGAAAAAGTGGTAACAGACACACAAAAAAAAAAATAAAACACATCATAGTAAAACTAATACCTTCTCAGCTTCGCATCGAAGCTAAAAAAATGTGTAAATATGAACAATATAACAAAAATAGTAAAGGTAGAGTTCATTTAGTCGGAGTAAATATTTCGTGAACGGCATCTTTTAATATGTAGCAATACTTAATAGTCTTTTAAATTAGATTTTAAAGATTATATTTTAATGGTGTTTTTGTTTACTTTAAATATTGTCTTAACCTTGTATTAATTCGCAATTAATCATGTATCTTAAAATATAAAGGGTACATGATCACGAATAAAATGATCAATACTCATAGTGAATGTTACATTGTAGTTTTACTTTGACTCTTCCTATTGGTACTCTTCCGACTGGCTGAAACTGAACTTAAAAACTTGGTTCATCACAAATATAGTAAAATTTTCAGGTTACAATCACTTAGGAGATGTTGGAAAAATGTTAATTTTTATTATATTCATTGACAATTTTTAATTTTTAATTTTGTATTATTATTATTATCATTACATCGATAATTTTTACTTTTAATTTATTGACAATTGTTTTACTTTTATATTTTATATAGTAACTAATTTTATTTTATTTATAATTAAATATTTATTTTAATATGAAACTTGTGTAATGATTACAATACTTGAATAATTAAAAAATCCTATTAATGACCTCTTGACAGTACAACTAGAAAATCAAATTAAAATGAAATTATAGTTCGGCGATAAATTGATCTACGGTCTACGATTTAAGCGGTGTAAAATTAATTTACGCAGTGAATAGTCAAACTTATAATTATCAACGCGATTAATTGACAGCAGTTCTCGCCTAATAATGTTACGAATATTATCTAAAAAAAAAAAATGCATGCGATATTTATAATATTAGTTATATTATTATATTTATTATACTATTTGACTTATTGAAATTAATTTATTAATTTTTCTTTCTCTTAAAGGTTACAAAAAACCTTTAATGTGATGAAGGATCGTTAGGCGGTATAATGGCATCTCAGGAAAATTCTGTTATGAAGGTTTTTTTTTTAGAAGTATAAAAAACCGTCCTATAACAGTTGCCTAAGATGCTTTACTCATTATATTTAATTAAAAAAAATACTAAAAATGGGGTTTTATTTCATTTATATAAAACAATATGGCTGTTGTTAGCTTTCACTAATTTTGACCCAAAATATTTACAACATAATATGTTATGAATGTGTTGAAACTTTCATGGATTGTCATATTATTTGAAAAGCTTGAGGATTTATCCATGTTTGCAGTTGATTGCTGATATTTCGGACTCATTGCAGAGTCCATCTTCGGAGCCATAGTTACTGCTCGGTGGCTGAAACTATACTGGCGTCTTATCTTGTTATCAGTCTGTTTTTATACGTTGGTTGTTTATCATATCTGTTAATGACTCATGTTGTTTATGATATCTTGTTTTTGCTGATGTTTTTGTTGACGACTTTGTTTCTTCTGTTTCCATAGTGAACTGTATGTTGGTGTGTGTGCTGTTTAAATGTTGCAGGAAAGATTGTAGTTTGTCCGCGCCGTGTTGCCATAAAACGAATGTGTCATCTACATATCGCAACCACATTTTTGGTTTTTGCGTATACGTGTTCATTGCTTCCACTTCAAACCATTCCATGAATATGTTGGCGATTACTGGTGCTAGTCTTGATCCCATTGCCATTCCATCAGTTTGTTCATAGATGTTGTCTTGGTATGTGAAAACTGTTATTTTGGTGCATAATTCCAGTAAACTATGTAGTTTTTCGTCTAACCATTGTTGTTATTTTATGATATTCAGTGTGTCCTCTACTGGTACCATTGTGAATAACGAGATTACGTCAAAGCTGACCAGAACGTCTCCGTCTTCCCAGTTGGTTTGTTGCAATTTTCCACAAAATCAGTCGAGTTTTTTTCATAGTAAGATGTTTTTCCTGTGTAAGTTTTCAAAATTTGTGCTAAGTGACCTTCCAGGTTATATTTCAGCGAGTTTATGGCACTGACTATTGGTCTGAGTGGCACATCATTCTTGTGTATTTTTGAGACTCCGTAAATTCTTGGTAGTCTTGGAACCGTCACTAATAGTTGTTTTCGTTCTTTTTCGTCTAGTATTGCTTTCTTTGTTTCATCATTGATTAGTTTGATTATTCGGTTTAGCGTGATTTCTTTTTCGTTGTTTTCAAGTTGGTACAGTGAGTTTTCTATACTGCTTATAATGTCTTCCTTTGGAATTTTCTTTGGAACTAACGAAAAGGTAAAACCTTTTTCCAAAGTGGTTAATTCAGCGTTGGTAAGTTCCTTGTCAGTTAGATTGACCAACGTATAAAAACAGACTAATAACAAGATATTCCGCCTGATAGTTTCAACCACCGAGCAGTAACTATGGCTCCGAAGATGGACTCTGCAACGAGTCCGAAACGTCAGCAATCAACTGCAAACATGGATAAATCCTTAAGTTTTTCAAATAACATAATATGTTGTAAATTGTGATGCAAATTACACATTATGTAATTTACATCAAACCGATTGTTCTTCGATAGTGCGTTCATGTTACGATAGAAAAGCGTAATATATTGAGATTGGATTTAATAAAAATGGTCTTGGAGATTTGAAATCAATGATCATACTAATACATCATAAATATAAATAATAAATATAACGTATTTTTTAATTAAATTTTTAAAACACTTTAAAAAAATGTAAAAAATGACATTTTTGTTAATTGCTTCTTTTACAATATTAAAAATTAATTTGTGTTTTTGAACAATAATATAAAAATATAAATTTTTGTTTTTTTTAAATCTTATATGCTATACTTTACCCCGATAATTTTCCTCTTCAGAACTTGAGTAATCCGAATCTATCAATGTACAAAAAAATTACGAAGATAGTAATATATTATAAATATTATTTACATTTTTAGAATGTTTAAAATATTAGTTATGTTTTGATAAAAACATGTTTAAAAAATTAATTTTGATAATATTTTTAAAAAAATTATGAAAAAGTATTTAGAGAATTCAACTGACTTTAATTTTTGACACATTAAATAAACCCTACTGTAAAAATTGTATTTTTATGAAATTATACGTCGCTAATACTCCGAGTAATACGAACCATAGTGAGTGAATTTATAAAATACATAAAAAGCATATTATGCACCTGCATTCATTGAAAACATAACGATATAGAATTACGGGGATTACAAGAACTGATAATTTTCCGACATTTTAAAAAAATCCTCTGAATGCATCGACTCTGACAACAATTACTGCGAATACCTGATTACAAAAATTTAGATTTTACTACGATAATAATTATTCCAAATAGAACAATTAATTGATTGCTCCGAATATCGATTATTCGCGAAATCGATTAATAAAATTATCAAATAATAGTAATAATAATAATCGTAGCAATATAAATAATTAACATAAAAAGTGTTATAATTGTTTACTGTCTATTAACAAATAATTATTATAATAAAGGCCATCAAAATGTATTTGACTTTTGAATCATTAAGTATTTTATGTTAAGGAAGAGGTCTTTAAACTAAAACAACCCCAGTTATATAATGGTGTGAGCCTTTAAAAAATAATTTTTTTTTATTAAAAGGGAGAATAGAGCGATTTTAATATTCGGAATTAAAATCTTTTTCGCTTCTCCTTATTAGCACTTATTATTATAACATTTAACATTTTATTAATTATCGTGTTCTCATTTATTAATTGGTAAAAAAAAATATAGGGGTGGTGTTACTAATGATAGGTTTCAGCATTATACAGATATTTTGTAAAGGTATTCAGTATTCTATTTTCTAAAACTCTCATTCCAATTAGTTTTGTATAAAATCAAAGAGAAATATATGACTAAGTCTCATTATATTGTAAAAAAGTGGGCAAGTCAACGATATTAATTGAATCCAGTCTGAATTTGATATTTTAATTGGTCCTAAATCGGAAAGACTTGAGGGATCTTAGTCTTTTAAAATTCTGCCATAAACCCCCAAAAATAAAATAGTTTATATTTCTTGTTGTATAGAACAATTTTTTAAAGAAAATAATAAATAATAAAATTAGATCTCCCAATTATTTTGTTGCAATACAGCTACACTCTAGTGTCTAGAGTCTAGTCAATTTAAGTGGACACAAGATATTTAACATTAGACTAATAAACTAATTGTTCAAGATTATGAAAACGGTTGAAATATTTTTTTATTTGTATGAGTATTACCTGATGTTTTGTCAATTGTACGTATAGAGTTAAATGTTTTAATATTTAGTTAAATATTTATGACAATATCACTTTTCTTTTTATAATTAATAATAAGTTTGTATTTATTTGAAAAAACGATATGAGAATTGAAATAGGGCGAAATAGTGATCTAATATATTAAAATTATTATATTAATTACACGTAATGCATTGTAAAATATTGTTGATACATGCTCACCACCGGGCTCCTACTAAAACGGTTGGCTCGTATGACTAATAGTAACACTAACAAGGGATTTGAATGATAGATTTCTAACCATATAAAAGGAGAAAGAAGATTACTATTCATATAATTAGTATGTTTTTTAAATAATATAATTTTACATACAGTGAGACAATAATAATTTATAATTTCAATCTTATGTTAGTCGCCCCCACTAAATATCAAATTATAATANGCGGAAAATGTTTGACGTTAGTTGGATCCATAGTTTATTAAATAATAAAATTGACTGTCCAGAAATTCTTGATATTATTCCTTTTAATGTTCCTTCAGTCCATTTACGGTCTCAAACGATGTTTTATGTTTCTTCTGTCCAACAGAACTATAATCTTTTTGCTCCGGTCAATCGTATGTTATTAGAATGTAATGAAGTTTGTCATAAAGTGGACTTCTTTTTTAATTCTTTAGATATAATAAAGAGATCGATTATATAGTTAAGAATCTTTACTTATATTGTTTGTTTTTATAATTAATTGTATGCTATAAATTTATTGATGTCTAGTTTAAGTTTTATTAACTGTACTCTTGCCCTTTGGGGCGTTAATTTAGTAAATAAATAAAAAATAAAAATAAAATAATCATAATTATAGAACAAAGGCACACATATAAATTACGACAATTAAAAAAAAAGGACACTCCGTCCTGGTCTTCTTGAGTTATTTTGTCATCATAAGACACATTACGGTTTTCTCTCTGCCTGACAATTGAGTCTCACCAATTGAATTCTACATATCCAATATCAATATTCCAGTGTGTTTATTTACATACAAAAACAGTATGCTACTGCATATGTTTCCTAGACCCTCTGAAACTGGAGAATATGCAATGGTCCAGAGGCCACAATGATCCTACACAAACACACCAACAAAAAAAAAAACACACTGAAAATAACGTACGACAAAATTAAGTATACACCAATACACCATGACCACTCTAAACAATTGTGCGGCAATGTTATCCAATACTTCAGGCAACTGGACACACGGACCGCTTTACACCAGCCATAAACTTTAAGAGTGTTTTAAATATTTGTTCCGGCAGATAAACCGGCCATCAGCTGACTGCGTGTTGTTACGGAACTTGTTCAAACAATACATAAAAAATGTATACGATTCCTGTTCAATTCATAGGTCATAAGTGCTGTTTATACGATAAATAAAATGAAAAAATATAGCATACGTGATTTTATTTTGAAAATATGAATGTGTGTACCACAACAATATTCAGCTTTCTAAAAAAACTTCATTTTGAATATATAGTAACATATTTGTATTTACAGAATACACGTTAATCTAACGTCATAAAAATAATTTCAAAATAGTGATGATTTAATAGGAACTCAGGAGAACCGCATTAATTTTAGGTTTTTTTTTTTCGCCGATTACTAAGGAAATCACCTCAGTGGTCATTAGGAAAAATTGCCTGCAGGACTTCCAAGATACTAATCGAGATCGATTAAATCTTGTTCAAGCTTAACTCAATCAAACAAGGATCATTTTGTAACCAATAGCAACTAATGAAATCATTTATGGTTATGGTAACCTATGGTATGTAAATGTCAGAGAATTATCAGATGCTTTAAAACAACTATCATTGAAAAAATTCCGAAACACCCGACAAGCTGTTTTTGAAGGAACGGAAAATACGTAAATATTCAGCGGTTTGTGTCGTTTTCGAGACGATTCATATATCTCTTGAAATATTTTAGGACTATACTAAAACACATTATAATAATGTTTTGATGTCTTTTCATAAGACTATAAAAAAATTAAACACAAAATTTTTTATTTATATATAATGTGTTTCTTTATTTAATACATTATAAATGTATTTACTATATAACACAACAGCTATCAAAAAAAAATTACAACTATTCAATACAAATTGTAAATTCTCTATTTTATAAAACATAATAATTTTATTTATATTCCCGTATTTATCTATATAAATATTTGTGCGCATCATGATTATTTTAATGCGTATATACAAAATAGTATCCAAACAAAAAATATGCGCATAGACAAAAAATAAAACCTTATAACTCGGTCAAAAACCAACAGATTTTACGAAATGTTCAGGGTACTATTGCAATGTTTCTATGCAAGTCTAGTAAACATTTTAGGTTTTAAATCGAAAAACGGTGGTAACAATGAGTGGTTTTACCAATTTTTTTAAACATTCACGGTGTGCTAAAAACATGTATTTCAATTTCGCGAATAACTTTCCAAAAAAATAATATCACTGAGCTCTTTCATTAAAAAAACAGCGTTAAGATATTATTTAGCATTGGCTATTTTTTTAATGGGTTATTATATAACAAGATTGTAAAAAAAATTATTTCTAGAGCTTCTAGATATAATTTTTATTGTGGTATTATAGGGGGTAATTACCTCTAGAATAGAGATAGTTTTCAGGAGTAACTTTTAAAATTTAAATGGGAACCTATAATAATTTTTATAATTAATATTCCAAAGTTATGGAAAAGTTAAGGTTGTTTAAGGTTATCCTTAAAAAACTTTAAAAATAATTTTTTACAGTTAGTCTATAATTTCTTTAGTTCACAATAATAAAATAAACTCAACTGCAGCAAAACGATATCGTTCGGAAATAATCTCATTGTATACGCTTCTACCTTAACAATATCAATGCATGTATGTATTTATTAAATAATAACAAAAGCCTAATAGAGCATATTAGTATAAGAATATTAATAATTCACACTATATTTACTAATGTATTTGACAGATTTAAAAATATCTCCATCTACCATATTATAATACCACAATAAAATGTCGATATTGCTTAAAGCGATGAAAACAATTATTTTTTAAAAAACAAAAAAAACAGTTTTGTGGCTACTAATAGTTGGAACTATAAAATACTATTCAGTTGATAATATTAGACAAAAATACCTCAATGATAGTCTGATTTAATAAGAATAATACCCAAAATTTTCGTTAATAAATGATAATTTCATTACAATGTAGTCAATTAAATTGTATTTATTTATATGATTATTGTAAATATTAAATTTATTGAAAACAAAAATTATTTTTAAGGGTAGTTTTTAGGGATAACTTTTAACGTTGAAATGATAACCTATTATTATTTTTATGGTATTAGAATAGAATAAATAAAATTTTTAGTTATAGGCGAGAGGTAGTAGACATAATAGATTTTATTAGTGAATTATAGTAAACATAAAGCGTCGAAAACATTACCATATTCCTCACCTTTTATAAATATTTAAATGCTAATTTTTCAAAATAATATAAAAACGAGTTAGTTGTTATTTTGTTAATTCTCCATTGTATATAAAAACAGTAATAGATTCTCATTTAACTTTCGAATTTTACTCCTAAGAACAACCCTTAGAAGTAATATTTTTGCAGTAAGTATGATATTGTCATTACCTTACAATAATAAAATAAATATTATTCAGTACTTATAAATTGACTAAATTGTATCAGAGTGTTTAACTTGGGACAGTTAAATATTTTACCAATATTTCAAATTTAAGAGAACATGATATTGTTAACTATAAATTCAGACATTAAAAATTAAATCGTAATATAAATCTCTAATGTAAATTCAAAGTTTGATACATTTTTAATCATTTGATAACTAAACAAGTTATCTGTCACGTTATTTTTTTATTTATTTAATAAAATGTCATAGAGAATTATAGATATATTTACGAGAGTGTATTTTAGTGCTGTAAGAAATTTCTAGATACCATGTACATATATAATTTGCTTAAATTACCATTATTTTCTTTGATTATACTTCGGCATGTTGGACATGTTAATGCACCAGAACCTTCTAACCATTGGTCTATACATGATTTACAAAACTTATGATTACATGTAGTCACTTTAAAATCATCGTTTACTTCGTGTAAACAAATAGCGCAAATTTCAACATCTACGTAACAAAATAAAAAGTGAAATATTACTATATTAATATCAATATTGTAGACATATTAACTTTTAATGTTGAAATGATAACCTATTTATTATATTATTTTTATTGTATTAGAGTAGAATAGATAACATTTTTAGTAATCATAATCAATTATGAAATGTTATTTTTTGAGTTAATGTAGTTTTTAGTTAGGTGTGGGGTAGTATACGTCATAAATTTTTATTAGTGCGTTACAGTAAAAATAAAGCGTCGATAAACATTTAGTGTTTATCGGCTAAAGCGTTTGATACCAGCCGGACAGGTCTACCGATCGCTTTTAGTGTCAATAGTGTAGAGTCATCACCACTTAACTCTAGGCTGAACTCGTGTATGAGGGAGGAAAAAAAATAGATATAAAGTAAGATTAGGTACTTGGAATGTTGGAACATTAACTGGTAGAAGTAGAGAATTAGTAGAAATATTGAAGAGGAGAAAAGTTAACATCTGTTGTGTGCAGGAAACTAAGTGGAAAGGAGAGAAATCAGGTGAGGAGGGAAATAAGTGAGGGCTATAAAATAATATACTTAGGGAAGTATAGTACAAAAAATGGTATGGGAATAATAATGGATGAGGAAATGAAAAGTATAGTAGTAGAAGTAGTTAGATGACAGGATTATAGTTGTGAAATTTATATTCGAAGAAAAAGTACTGAGTGTAATAAGTGCCTATGCACCAAAAGTAGGATGTGATGAAATAGACAAGGAAGTGTTTTAGTGAGAGATGGATGAGGTGATGCAAAGGGTACCAGCAATGGGGATGCGGTGATAGATGGAGATTTGAATAGACATGTAGGTAATCAGAGGAGAGGATATGAAAGAGTACATGGAGGGTATTGTTTTAGTGGGAAGAATGAGGCTGGAGAAAGAATCCTAGATTTCGCAGTATCGTAAGATCTTACTGTGGTTAATACTTATTTTTGAAAGAGGAAGAACATTATATAACTTATAAGAGTGGGAGGAATAGATCACAGATTAATTATTTTATGTGGAAGAGAGATAGCGTAAAGTGAGTAAAGGATTATAAATTTATACCAGGCGAGAGTTTAAGTAAGTACATAGCATAGACTTATGGTAATGAAGTTTTGGTGTACCGGAAAAAGAATATACAAAAACATAAGGAACACGGGAGAAAAATCGAAAATCCGTTGGTGGAAATTGAAAGGGGAAAATGAAAAAGAGTTTGTCAAGACGGTAAAGGAGAGGACAGTGTGGAATGTCGATGGAAACAATAAATGATGTGTGGAACAGATTTGCTATTTGTGTAAAGAATACTGCAAAAGAGATTGTTGGTAAGAGTATGGCAGAAGAACAAAAGGAGAAAATATTGGATGGAGTATAAATGCTTGTGCAAAGAATCCAAGTGTGCTGTAAGGAAGACGAAGTTAAAGAGATATGATGAATTATATGATAGGTTAGGAACAAAGGAAGGTGAGAGAGAAATTTATAGACTTGCAAAAGTTAGAGAGAAAAATATTTAAGATTATCATTATATTAGGTGTATAAAAAGTGCTGATAATAGGGTACTATATAGTGATGATAATGTGAAAAAAGGTAGAAAGAGTATTTGAAAAATTACTGAATGAGGGTATCCAAAAGAGACGTTAGAGGATATTCTAAAGTGGGCATTAATGAGAAAAGGAGTCCCGAAAAGGTACAATAATATAATAGAGGATATGTATGATGGCACTTGTACTAGGGTAAAAAGTGTGGAAGGAGTAACAGAAGGTTTTAGGGTAAGAGTAGGAGTGCATCAGGGTTTTGCTTAAAACTCTTATTTATTTTCTATAATGATAAATTAAATTACTAGAAAATACAAGATATACAAGGAGAGGTTCCGTGATGCATGTTGCTCACTGATGATTTAGCGTTAATAGGAGAAAATAAGGATGGAATTATTCAAAGGCTATAAGTATGGAGATCAGATTTTGATTATAAGGGTTTAATAATAACTAGGACTAAAACAGAGTATAGTGAGTACGAGATAAAATAGTTGTTCTAAAACGCCATATATGTATGAACTATCCAGCTGCACATATAATTAATTTTTTTAACTTTCAATAAAAATAAAAAGTTTCTTAAATCAGCTCTTGAAAAAAAGGGTTTAAGAATAAGTAGGAATAAGACAGAGTATATAGAGTATGAGTTTGATAAAGGAGAACACAAGGTAGGTGAAATAAGGAGACCAGTGACAATAGGCGAGGACGTGATTGGAGAGGTGAAAAGTTTTGGGTATTTAGGATTAGTTGTGCAAAAGAGCGGTGGTATTGATAAGGATGTAAGGCACAGGATTAAGTGCGGGTGGTTGAAGTGGAGAGAAGCGTCTGGTGTCTTATGCAATAAAAGAATTCCAATGAGGCTGAAAGTTAAATTCTACAAGACTGTAATAAGGCCACCTATGATGTATGGTTTAGTGTTGGGCGGTTGACAAGAAAGTAGAGCAGAGAATGAGTGTAGCAGAGATGATGAGAATGCTTAAATGGATGAGTGGAGTGACTAGAGAAGATAAGATAAGAAATGAGCATATAAGAGGGAGTATAGGTGTAGCGTAAATCGTGAATGAGATGAGAGAAAATGGACTTAGATGATTAAAAGACTTAGATGGTTTGGTCATGTTATTAGGAGAGAAGAATCGGAAGCTATAAGAACAGTTGTAGAAATGAATGTTAAAGGTTGTAGAGGAAGACCAAAAAAGAGATGGACAGATGCTATTGAATGCGATATGAGGACAGCTGATGTGAGCGTAGAGGATGTGGAAGATCGTGTCTAGTGGAAGTTTAGGATAAGGGTGACCGACTCCAAGTAATTGAGATTACGGTGAGAAAGAAGAAGGTGATCCAACACAAATTTTTTAAATGTGATTAATAAAATATCATAGAGGATCATAAATGTATTTACAAGGGTGGATTTATGAGCTGTAAAAATTTTTAGATACCATTCACATATTTAATTTACCATTATTTTCTTTGATTAAATGTCGGCATGTTGGACATGTTCTTCCAATATCTAACCATTGATCTATACATATTTTACAAAATTCATGTTTACACGGTGCCACATAACGATCATTGCTTACTTCATCATAACAAATAGCGTAAATTTCAACATCTATGTAACAAAATAAAAAGTGAAATATTACAATACTAATAATAAATATTACACGTGGGTTGATTATTGATCTCCCAGTATAATTTATAATCCTTACCTTTAATTATTAAGGATTAGACACTAATTTTTTTAGAAATTTTTATTTAGAGATATATTATTTAATTAAAAAAATTCTATAAAATAATACTTTCATCATGAACCTCTTAATTAATCGAAAAATAAAAATAACACTAATTATTTATCAACAATAATATATTTTCATATGCGCCCCTTATAAGGATGTCAACTTTATTTTTTCAAATAGCAACATACATAATTAATTAGCTTAAATATTAGATAACTGTCTAATTAAGAAAATGAATGATTGATAATAACTTTTGGACTAATATTTCAAAAGTTATTATTTCAATACTTTGGCGGAAGGAGAAGTTAAGTAAAAAAACTGTGGTATAATCGAGTTTTTAAGATTGCAGATAGTTTGAAATAGCTGAGAAATAACTGAAAATTTCAAGAAATATAAATGATGTTAAAAAAATTTCAAAAGATTCATTGATTCATCTGAACCATGAAAATATAGTGATTCTAGTAAAACGATGTACCAGTCACAGTTCTATCATTAAACTAAGAATCAAAATTTTTTCTTAATGCAGTATCCTTACTATTTCATCTAGTAGCTCTTAGCTTTTAATTTTTTCTCAATTTTTCTTGTCCAGTGTATTATTTAGCACAAGATAACGGACGCTATTCTTGAGCACACTCGAATTAAGTTGCCTCACATCGGACCATTGGGTTTACTTGCCCATATACTGATTAGATATTGGCCTCTAAACGTACGAAGCTTGGCTAGATGCGTTGTTCATAAATGTATTACATACTTTAAGGCGAGGCCTACATCTCGGTAACCCTTCATGGATAATTAGCAAGGGTAAATCAGATGCGTCCATTTTCCAGATATGGAGTGGACTTTGCTGGACCTATTTGCGTTCATAATGGTTTGCATAAGATAGTTTTGACCAAGGCTTATATTGCTGTTTTTATGTTTCTACGTTAAAGCTATTCGCTTGGAATTGGTCAGCAGCCTAAGCGCTGACGCGTTTTTAGCAGCTTTAAGAATATTTATGGTACGACGTATTACATATATTCAAACAATGGGACTAATTTCATGGGAGCTCATAGAGAGTGAAGGACATTGTATGCAAATAGTTCTACCGGAAGAACTATCCAACAAATCCTGACTGACGAGGAGATTACTTGGGACTTCAACCCACCCGGTGTTCCAAATTTTGGTGGATTATGGGAGGCTGAGGTGAAGTCCGCTAAACATCACTTTGTGCGGTGTATTAAATCAGCATATTTATTCTTTGAGGAGCTGAACACTGTTATAAATTAAATAGGGACTTGCTTGAATTCTATACTTCTATATCCGTGTGCAAACGATCCAAGTGATATCGAAGCTCTCACTACAGCGTACTTCCTAATTGGGGTGGCTTTTGAATCTTCCACCCGAGATAATTTACACAGAAATTCCAAATAACTGACTAAAAAGATGGCATCTACAATATTACTATCTAATAAAAGTTGTATCAAGAATTTAGGAGGCGTTGGTCCAAAGAGTATTTATCTGAATTTCACATGCGTTACAAATGGACCAAGCAAACTGATTCAATTAAAGTGGTCACTCATGGAATTATTCATGATGCAAATCAGCTTCCTATTAAATGGGCTTCAGCAAGGGTGATCGATACGCACCCTGGAAGCGATAATGTTGTTCGGGTCATCTCATTTAGGACCTCTGGTGAAACCTTATTGCAAAGGCCAGTGAACAAATTTTCGCCATTACCAATGCCAGATGATGGTGAAGAAATTTCTTTACCGAGAAGAGGATGTTAGGGCGTGGATAAGGTAGTGCTTCGCTCTATGTGCTACAATAATACTTGCTCGCAACGATGCTCACACCTTCCTATCCTTATTAGGTTATTTTCGTTGTTATTTTTTTTAATTTTAAGAAACCAAAAAATTTTTCTATTCAATATGTTTGTGTTTTCTTTCTATATAATCTGTGTTATGAGTATAAAGGATTTTATTAAAAGAAGCATTGTTACATATTGGGCAATCGAAGTTCTAATGAATGTGAATCAATCAATTGTTTATAATTAGATAAGAGATTATGTTAAATAGTAAGTTCAGTTCCTATCTTTATTATTTATCATTATACTGTGTAATAGTTGAACTAAATTTATTTTACTTATATATTATTAAATTTCTTCTCTTTCTATTCCTAAAAATACAGTCCGCCACATAAAAAAAGGTGCGACACCTTATCTGCCCGCGTCCTAACAGGCTACGTTAAGCCCAAGCATAGCAATTCTAGAAAACCCAGGCGGAAATCTCCATATGTGTACTCCACCAATTTATGCCTGTCCTTATCCTTAATTATTAAGAGTTAGACACTAATTTTCTCAAACATTTTTGTTGGTTTCAAAATCGCCCATCTAACCATGTCAATTTTAAAACAAGCAATAATCAATTATATTTTTTTTCGTGGTAAAATAATAATTGATAATGATTATATTTTATGCTAAGATTTACTGATAATACTGATTAATATTTTTGTGAATTTAAAAGTAAAGTTTTTATATTGAATAAAGAGTGCAGTAAAAAAAATAATGTTTGGTTTTTATTTCAATGTTTCTTTCAAAACTAACTATATCACATAGTCAATTACAAAACCAGCCATGTATATAGAAAAAAAACCCAGCACAGGGGGGTTGAAGCACAGTGGTGATGTGGCATAGTTGGATCAAGTATAATAATATCTGACAGTAATTAAAATCACTACAAAAAAAAACACTTCGATGCAAATCTTTAGATAGTGTTTAATTTTAAAAAATTGGTGGATTATTCCAAAAGCTACATAATTTACTAGTTCCTTATTAATATCCTGATTAAGATAAAGTATGTCGAATGAAAAAGGGATTATTAAAAAATAGTATTTCTCATAGAAAAATTATGTTGATTCATACACTTTTCAATAAGTTATAACATTATAAAGTTAAAAAAGTAAAAAATAAAAACGAGAATTTTCACACAATAATAGCATTCGGTAGCCATTTTCACCATGAAGACAAAATAAAGTCCGAAATTTTTTTTTTTGATAATAAAGTACATTACATTAGCTTTAATTTAAGTATATATAAAATTGTTCGACTTTCCAGAACACTTTCAAAAGTTAAGTTGAAAAAGTAAATTTTTTGTGAAAAAGTTGTCATTTTAAATCCCCCCTGTGGGCAGGTTAAGTGTCGAATTTACAAAAAAAATATCCTAAATGATAGGTAAAGACATCAAGCATTTATAAAAAAAAATTGTATTGATTTTTTCATTTTTGAAAATTATGGCTGTTTTAAGTAAAAAAAATTGAAAAAATTAGCGATTTTAAAATTTGTAATTTTTTTGGAAGTTTCCCCCATTTACGGGGAACGAGGAAAATATTTTCAATTTTTAAGGGTAATGGTTTGATTAGATACAATTTGTGATTTTTTGATGTATTAAATAATGTTGCTTTTATAAAAAGATACGAATACTTTAAGTCCATTAAGATAAAAATTAATTTCATTTCATTTTGAATATAGATTTTAGCTTTAATACTGAGAAGGTATTGTTTTATATTTTGTGTTTTTTTTTTTATAGTAATTGACAAAAATATTAACGTCTAAGATCAACTTAAGCTTATTATAATTACCTTTTTTAGAACTTTGTTGTTCTATTTTTTCTTTTTTACAATGGCATACTGTAATAAAATAAAAAAACAGTTTTTATAATTACACTATATATAACTATATAACTACACTTATAAAAAAAACCCAGCACAGGGGGAACGAGGGAAATTTTTTCAATTTTTGAGGGTAATGTCTTCGACTAGATACGATTTGTGATCTTTTGACGTATTGTTGAAAGAAATCCGTTCGGTGAGAGCTGAGAAAAAGTGGTAACAGACACAAAAAAGAAAAAAGAAAAAAATAAACACATCTTAGTAAAACCAATACCTTCTCAGCTTCGCATCGAAGCTAAAACTAAAATTGTAAAAAAATATGAGAGTACACACAAACTTGTAGGTCCGTGTATGCACTTCCTACCAAATTATATTAATTCGGTTTCTTTACATAAATGTTTCCGCCCAAGTATTTTTGCCATTATTTGAATACCTATAATATATTGTATATATATATAGTAGGTCCTACTAGTCTATCTTTATAAATTTTCAAAGAGTCCTGTCTCTCTGGCGAAATTAAGTAACTCTTTAGATTTTAAGGTTTTGATATATTTTTTTTTTAAGAACATTTTATGTTATTGTATAATTTCTTTAACTATTTATGATTTTACTATCTCTCAACCTATGATCTTAATATACTCGTCATTATCGTAGTATGGGATAATATTAGGCTGTTCGTATCCAGAATAATGGTATTTTATTTAACTTTTTCGTTTAAGAAAATGAACACTTCTATTTATATTCATAAAAAAAAATGATTCTTTTCAGCCAAAAATTTTTAATAAAGAATTCAGAGAAATATTTTACAAACGTATACTGTTTAACTATATTATATTACACACATTATAGCCATAATCAAATATTAGTTCTATTTAAACCAATAATATTAGTCACTCTAAATTAATTTTCTTTGAGAAGAAATCTATAAATTTTATTTGTCATATTTTTACATTAATCTAAGTGTAAAAAAGTATATTAACGATATATAAAATGATGAATTTGTCTTCATGGTGAAAATGGCTAGCATATTCAAAAATAGGCTATTTTTTTGTTATAATTCTTGGTTTTGTATTTTATGTTATTTTAAAATACCTTACAAAGGTATTTCATTTTTGAGTTAGAAAAATAATTTTAATTCATTTGATTTTTATCTCATTTAGAATTAGAAATCATGTTTAAACGACCAATAAAATAGATGAAAAATAATATTTTGCACTGATTGTTTTTAATGTAATAAAAGCAATTTTCTTTTTTTTGTTTTAATTATTTCTTTATTTGTTTTTAATTTATTTTTTATTTGTAACATCAAAATTCAGAAGTGATAGAGTAATTCTAATTTTATATTTGAAAACAATGCGAAAAGTTAATTTAGAAAAGTATATTTTTGATTCCGACAAAAGTTCCACGTAGACAAATGTTATTATTTATAGGTAAAAAAAAAATTTTTATAAAGTATTGCATCATACCCTTTAATTTTTATAAATATTTATCATAGAAGTAACAAAATATACTACTTTATCATTTTTTATTATTTCTTCTTAAAAATTACAATATTAAATTATTAAATATTAATATCATACTATATTTAATTACTATTATTATTCATAATTTATACTTTTAAATCTAAGAACTATTAATCAGGATATAATTAAGGGAATAGGAGTTAAAGTTGCTTTTGTAAACACTATATACAGATTTGCATCAAAGCGTTTCTTATGAAAGTAATTTTAATCACTGTCAGATACATCTATAATTGTCTCAACTATGCCATGTCCATACTGTGCCGCAAATCCAACTGTGCAACTGTTTTTTATTTTAAATTCTTACTGTTATTAAAATTACATAAATACCTAAACGTACAACAATTATAATTTATAATTTTATTTTTTAAAGGGATACGATACTATTGTTTATTAGTTTAAATAGATTCTGAACACTTTTAGTATTAGTCGTAAAAAAAAAACATTGATATACTTTTATATACATATATTAGGATGTAATACTTTTTAAATATCCTTACATCAGAGGTAAACTATATCATGTTGTACTATAACTATCACAATAACATTTAAAAAATTTTTTTAGGGGATACTTTATTAGGAGAATAGTTTTCTATCACTGCAAATATGTAGTTAACTTTGTACTAGAAAGCTTGCACTGAACAGATGTACAAGGTGTCCGAAATAACAAGAGAAGTTGAAAATAAGGGGTGATACTTATTAAATAAAAATGATTGAATTTCAATAACGTCAGTTTCATTAAAACAAAATTAGTAGTGTATAAATAGAGTCTAACCTTATTTTTTCATTTTATTTATATAACTATTATTGTTAAGCGCGTTAGCCCGGTGTGTACCGGTTTTTTTTTGTATTGTATAAAAAGTAGTCGGGCGATGAACTCGTCATCGCAAAGGACGGCATGACCCGCACGCCAATACATATGTACGAAATAAGTATTAAAAACTAAATTAAAAGTTTAAGTTTTTACATCGTGTTTATTAATTAAATAGTAAACGTTCCTTTCAGTTCACTTTGAGACCGAAAACCAATTATTATAATTACCTTTTGTAGAATTTTCTTCAATTTCTTTTTTTACACAATTACATACTGTAATATAACAAAAAATAATTCAGTTTCCATAAATACATTAACAAAATTTATTGAAAAACTTAACGTGTTAACAACTTTTAGAGTCTCGATGAATGGGTTTGTTAATAAATACTACATATATTAAGGGTTTTGAAACTTACACTAAAACACTGATGTCATTAGTTTTTAAATTTATATTAATCAAATTTAAAAAGTACAAGTAAATCCAGCCTCCCCTATCACTAGACTAAAACCTAATTATTTCTATTTAAATATACAATCTACACTTTTTTAGAAAATCAATAGAATAAAATTTGATTAATCATAAAATAATATAACCAATGGTAATTCCAATATAATACACAAATATTTTGATAAATAAGATAAATAAATTCTGAAGTTAAGATAAAATATTGTATTTATAAGACAAACTTAAAATTTCTACAAAACATACCATTATATAACTTAATTTTGTATTTATTTTATTGTTTAATCAAAATTATAAAATTGAATAATCTAAATTATTTAATGGTAAACTAATAATTTTATTTTTTTTTTAATTTATATAGGGTAGAGTTCGTTAAAAGATCTAAAATTTACATGCCTATATTTTCGTTCTAACAAATATATTTTTGAGTTATGATTATAATTATTTATTTATAATTTATTAAATTTCACAGACAAATTATACAAAAGAGTTGTATACAGCTGTATTACAATATAGTGGTAACCACATGTACAAAAATATTAAATTTTCCTTATTAAACTATACTCAACTCTATTTACTTTTTTTTTTAATTACCCTAAATACTATTTATTGAAACTACAATGAATCTTAATTAATACCAATAAACGTTTTTTATAAAAATAAAATTAATAAATACTCGAGTATAATAATTAACTCAATAACTAAAACTAAAATAAATAAAACTGTAATAAAAAAAAAGTAATTACTGTTTGGAGTAGGGAAGGAAAAGAAATGTAACACGGGTGGCCAATGAGAAAATAAGAGACGTAATATAAAGAAGAATGGGCAGCAATGGAAAGTAAGAGTGTCTATAGGTACCGAGCAGTGAGATTATAATAAATTGAAATAGAAAGGGATCTTGGGGTATGTATTCTTGCGTGAACACGTCTTATATATGAATAAGATGGAATTACAACGAAGGGTCACTACCTAACTCCTGAAACGCGTACACGAACTTCTGGCGAGTCACAAATATCGTATTTCTTTGTAAAAGAATTTTAGTATATTCTCGATGACCTATCTCACTCCAGTGGCGTACACAGAAATTAAATTTGGGGGGTTTTTTTGAAATTTAATAAAAATTAGATGTGACACTGCCCATATTGTTCACTTACAAAAATCCCTGTTTTCGATTACTTTATTGTGGAAATATTTATAGTATGATATGATCTTTTTTATTGTTATTACTTATTGTTTATGGTCCAAAATTGTCGCTTAGCTTATAAATTTGGGGGGGGGTTCAACCCCAACCCCCCCTTGCGTACGCCAGTGTTTCACTCTAATTGTTTATTACTAAAAATCCTTCAGTAAAGTGTTTATTATAAACTTATTATATAAATAAATGTTTTCACTTACTTCTGATTATCCTGATAAGACAGATCATCTGTTGAGATGAATCATGTAGTTGATGTAACAATTATCGATAAGTACGTATTTGCGTCGGCATTTGAAATTATACGATTTATGTTATTATTAACTCGCGTGTAACTTCTTTTCTAGTACAATTCTATATTAAATCTACTCAAGATGAAACTTAAATTTATTATACCTCTGGTATTTTATGTAAAACCGTTTTGTATATTTATGTGGTATAGTCTTTAACCTCGTGTGTAGCGTTTTACACTGATGTATTTGTAGTTTAATAATTTATAAAACCAATAAAGAAATTCTAAACAACATAACTGTCCTGTGCAACAAAACTATTTCCAAGTGGCCTACGTCTTTTCAGTCGTCCAAATGGTGATCTAGGGTAGATGCGAGCTCAATTTCGGTTCTTTGTACAATAGATTATACTAGTGTACTACACTCCGATGTCCCGCACTGTGGCTGAGATCAGATTGGCTGGTCGACAAGTGGAGAGACACTTTGAAGAACGCTTATAATTAGTTGGAATGTTAACTATGATGTTATTGTGCTAGTACTCTGTCCAGCCAGGTAGTGGCGCATCCATAAGTAATAGAAAACACAATGCATTCTATACTATTTTATTAGCTAAAATTGCTTACCTTATCATGCGACGAAAGCGACGAACAGTTGCCGAATCGATAACACACTTATGTCTTTTACACTTAAGGTACGAGGTTCGAATCCGCCTGTGGATAATTAATATTTTGCATTTTTTTTTTAAATTTTCAAATCATTTTATTTTTTACTCATTGAGATTCAATAACTTCAATGAATATCAAGGATCCCATCATTGTAGTCTCCCCTCGTGAGAAGACATATTTTATTCATGTTAATATTATTTTACTATGTGTTTTTTTTATGGCTGCGATTTATTTTTCCAACACTTGCATAACCTACTTTTTTCAACGATACGTCAAATACTTACAATTCGTATTTAGTTGAAGATATTACCCTTAAAAATTGAAAAAAAGTTCCTTAATCAAATAACAAGTAGATTATCCAGCTTTATCCATACAAACAATTTAAATAATTAATTTATAATATTTTTAAAGTATTTATTGTCGAATTAGATTTGATATTTTATAATTTTACTTTGTAATTTATTATTTTTTTCCTCTATTTATGTGTGCTACTATCAGTTTATAACATTTCAATTTA